CTGTTGTCTAATCCACCTGGTTTATTGTATTTTATTATGGTAGTCCTAACAAACAAATACAAGTATTAAAGAAACAGAGTTCATAACTAAAAAATGAAATACTGAAAAAGAAACCTCCCAGCTTGGATGATTTCACTGAAGAATTCTACCAAACATTTAAAGAAAATAAACACCAATTCTATACAATTTCTTTCAGGAAATAAAAGAAGGGGGGATATACCCAATCCATCTTAGAAAGCTAGTATTACTGATACTAATAACAAAGACAGTATCCAAAAGATAACTACAGACCAATATCTCTCATGAATGTAGATATAAAACTCTAGCAAAATATTGGCAAATAGTAATGCATACAAAGGATTATACACAATGACTAAATGGGATTTATTGCAGGGATGCAAGGCTGGTNCGGCATATAGGTTACAAGCAGAAAATTCTTAGCCCCATCTCCTGTACTTAATCTACTTGAGTAGTGATTAAACAACTTGACAATGGATTTATTTTTAATGTATAATTTTACATTAAAGAATTAACATTAATTGCTGGTAGGTGCTCCTCAGTTGCAGTTTAAAGATGGATTTTGTGCTCACTATTTTCTTTCTCTCTTAGTAACATTTTTTTCCCCCACATGCTTTTTTTTTGAAAGATTTTATTGGGGAGTTGGGGGAGGGGAACAGACAAGTTGCTGTCGTTTTGTGCTACAGTCTAGTTGTTGAAGACGTTGCTTCACTGGCCCATGTTGGTATTATCATTGTGCTCTTCCCGGATGAGGCAGATCGGTCACCGGTCTTGGGATGGCCACTCACGGCAGCTCTTGTCAGCTCACACTGGCTGCCAGCCACTCACGCTGGCTGCCAGCCACACACAGTAGCTTATGGCAACCCACTGCAGCAGGGGCTGCAGCCTATCCGTCGCTGGCGACTCACGGCAGCCCAGCTCCAGGTCGAGCTGTTGTTCACCATCTTAGCTGTAGAGGGCAGTGTTACTGGCCCCCATGTGGGATCCGAACTGGGGCCCTGCTGCTCTTAACCAAGCCAGCTCTTTACCAACGCGCCACTCGGCCGGCCCTTCCCACATGCTTTGTGGTTCAAAATTGCATTTCACATGGATAGTGTTCCCAGGCATAAAGAATTCTTGGTGAGAATACAGTTAGGGCTGGGATGGTGTAGTTCCAGACTCCTGTCAGAACAGACAGTCTATGAGAATGGAGGAAATCCCCAATTTTGCTACAGCCTGCAGCAGTGGTTTCCCAGGAGAAGATAAGGCATTGATTTGGAGGAGTAAGAGTACCTGTACATGGTCCCTGAACCTTAGCACAGGTGGAATGTTCTGTGATCCTTTCTGCATCGTTGTCCAAGGACTCCCTCATCCCACCGACCAGTAAAGTGCTTATTATTCAGAAACAGGTCAGCAGTAATCTCCTGAGATTCAACCTTGAGAATCAATGTTGAGTGATATTTTTCAGTTTATACTTGCATGAAAAATACAGATTGGACTTCTACGATGGAACAGAAGTACTTTTCCCTATTCCTACCACTAAGTATAGCTAAAAACCCTGGATGTTATACATAAAATAAGCATACACGACTCTGAAAATTGGAGAGAAGGCAAACCAGCTAGGGGGCCTCAGGGCCCAAGAATAATAGGGTGGTGAGTTCCTTGGAATTTTGTTTTGCTTTATATACTCATATTCCACATTTGAAGCTAAAGGAATCAGGAACCCAGAAATGCCAACAGACACAGATTTTTTAAAAAAATGGGTTTCCAACAAACGGGTTTCTCTCTAGCCAAAGGACCAGGAAAGAAACAACATATCAAAACAAAAAATCATTTAGACGGTAACTGCTCTTCTCCAGCCATATAAGACAGGAAAAACTATGGCTCTACCACACCTATGCCAACAAAGGCTTACACTTCCACCCTCACCAGGCTGTCACAAGGTGCTGCAACTCCTTTCACCTTCACCATGGTGATGTCACAGAAGATCAAGTAGGGAGCTGAGTTTCTCATTCCCGTCATGTGGTAATGAGACTCTCTGCTTCCCACCCCCGCCAAGCTATCAATGGAGACTATGTCAGGAGCCTGGGCTTCCACCCTCACCTGGCAGTACTGTTTCCCCTGCCTTTCTCCACTAGGTGATGTCACAGAAGGCTAGGGGAGAATCAAGGTTGTCATCACAGTCCAGCAGTAATCAGGCCACCTCCCTGCCCACATTTTGTCAGTGGAGGCCAAATGGAGAACAGAAAAGGGGCATTCCTACCACTCGCAGCTATGGAGTTATCAGTGAAAATGTGGTAAGCAGCCTGAATTCCCACCCTGTCCCACAGTAATGTGAAACCCCTCTCAAGTTACAAACATGACTGCGTGGGAAGCCTGCATTTTTACCTGCACATGGAAATGATGAGGTGGCACCATCCCCATTTTGTCCACTGAGGTGATCGTAGTCAAATTTAGCTAAAACTGGTTTAAATAAGATCCAGAGTCTCAACATAACAAGAAAATATCTAGGTTTCAATTGAAAATCATTCATCATACCAAGACCCAAGAAAATCTCAAACTGAGTGAAAAAAGATAATCAACAGACAGATGCCAATACTGAAATAACTGAGATGTTAGATTACCTGACAATGTTTTTAAAGCAGCCATAATAAAAAATATTTAAATGAGCAATTATGAACATGTATGAAACAAATGAAAAAAATAAGAAGCATCAGCTGAGAAATATAACATGTAAGAAAGAAATGGAAATTTTAGAGCTAAAATAATAATAACCAAAATATGAACTTCAGTGGGTGGGATCAATAACATAATAGAAGTGACAGANCATCCCAAAATAACGCTGTGGCCATAATCTGGGGTGTGGAGGAGGTTAACCATTGAAGAGCAGGAAAAAATTTTTTCACATCCAAAGATCATGTTTCCATGTAGTTTCAGTTGGATTCTAGTCTATTTTCACTTATAATATTGATTAAGTATGGATTTGAAATATGTATATTGAATTTAATTAAACTGAAAGACAAGAATTAAGGAAATCTATGAATGTCAAAATAATTTTTGAAACTCGTTACGTAAAGGAGCAATTAAATTTACTTGAAAAATGTAACAGATGAAGATTTAAGTGAGACATCTGTCCAATAGAATGAATAGCATGAGCGCTCCATGATCAGTTCAAATGAAGAGTAATTCTCCAAATATGTACAGTTAGAGTTCACCCCACTGAGACCTTTCTCAACATCATGGTTCATTTAAAACAAGTGGAGATTTAAAAAGTATTTCAACTTAGAACTAATGAGAAAATTTGATTTCAGTCTTCATTGCTCCACAACTTTGTATAAAATATATACAATATTGGCTAAAAGGCATGACATACACAAATACACTCAAAATATAGCCTGCCTTTAATTACCGATAGTTGAAAGAGAATTGTATACTTCTTCTTTTGAAACTGCCTAACCCCTTGCCAGAGTTGATTGGCTTAAAAATGATTAAACTTGCTCAAAAATTCTGCAAGATTGTATTCAGGAGAAAATTATGACCGTGCATTGAGCAAAGGACAGACTAATATCTTAGGAAGTTTAAAATTAAGTGTAAACAAATATATAGAGTCAGGTATCTGCTTTATAGTAATTTATTGGCTGGTAAATCTTAACTGCTGAAAATCTACTTTGCTGATAAATACGACTTCAATCTATAATTGTTGTAGGAAACTTGGTTAATTGTGGCAACCAAGGAAACCACTCAAAGGATATTTTCCATAAATACAGTATTAAAAAAAAATTAGGAAAAGAGTTAATTGCGACCAACTTGTAGCACATGGTCAGTTAAGAGGTTCATCTTGGTAGAGAGATGTGGGCAATATATCAAATAGAAGACCTTAGGTACAATGGGGTCCTGTTTTTATGAAAAAAAAATATATATGAGTTGGTTAAGAGTACACAAAAAGCTCAACTGAGCTCTAACATTTCATAACTGTATGACCTTGGGTAAGTTATTTCACCTGTCTGTGTCTGGACTTTCTCATCTGTAAAAGATGGATAGTATTGTTACCTACTCCTTATGGCGGTATAAGAATGAAGTGAGAGAATAAAGCCAAAGAACATATAACTGTATCTGGAATATGTAGAGAGCTGTTTTGTTTTTTTCTCTCCTAAACTTTCTACCTTTGGCATAAGCATAATAGTGTCTTTTTTTGTAAAAGCAATTAATAACTCTGTGTACTTCGACAATGTAAGTTCTTGTTATATCAAAAGGAAACACAAACATTAAATACCAAGTGATCACAACGGATAACAGGAAAACTCGAACGTTAAACATCAATTCAAAAGACCATTATTTAGAGCACAGATGAACCTCAGGGTGGTTAGCTTCACGGCAGTGTGCATCTAACATTCCTCCCCTAAGTTCTACAGTTATTTTCAACCCAAGCCTGCCAAAGGGAAAGTTTACTACCAAGTCCCAGCCATGGAACCTCTGAGCTCCAGCACGGCGTCACCACCCCTCTTCTCTCCTTGGCTTTGGTCTTTTGACAGACACCTCTCCACCTCCCACGCCGGGGACCAGAACCAACCCCCCCCGTTCGCCTTCTGTCCAGCGGAAAACTCTAAAGTGGGCAACAGGCTACAAAAGCCAAAGCCACTCGCCCCGGTACCCCACCGCCCCGGCGACCCCCGAGTGCCCACTCCCACTCGGACATCGCCCCGGCACCGCAGCGCATTGCAACACGCGCAGACGCCGCTGGCTGGAAAGGAACCCATCGCGGATTTCCTGGTCAGTGCCCCCCAGACTGCGCCCCAACGTGAGTGTCATCCCTAATGGATGTGGCTACGCCACCTCTCGCAGGCTCAGTCCGCGAGGACGACTCAGAGGGCAGCAATGACAACAAAAACAACTCAACCCGCGACGCGGAGGAGCCGGCTGCCATCGCCAGCCCCGGAGCGACGCATTGGCGACAGCGGGGTTCTGCAGCGATGCCGGGGCCTCGGCGGGCGGCTGAGATTTACCTGCGCGGCCCCGCGCCCCCGGGCCGGCCATCCTGCCGCAGCAGCTACAGCCGCCCCGCGGGCCCGAGGCGCCGCCCGCCGCCGGGGGAGGCGCCGAGCCGCAGTCCTGGCTGCGGCGCCCGGCACATGCTTCGCGCTCGCCGCGTCCAGCGTCGGCGCACAGGTGGGAACCCCGCGAGTGGGCGTTGGGGTGATTCCCTGCCCCCGCCGGCGCTGGCGGTCCGCTGCCACTCTTGACTTTGCCGGGTGCGCGGCGCCTGCCCTTGCTCCGGGAGCCGAGCCTCCGGTGCCCGCGCCCCGGCGCCGCGGGCGGCCGGGGTCCCTGCGCAGCTGGGGCTGCGCGTCATGGGCATCTCCCGCCTCGCGGTGCACCGGGCGGCCGGGGGCAGCTCGCAGCATCCCTGCCCCGCGCCCACTTCTCGCCCGACACCCGGACCCCTCCATCCCCACGCCCTCCCCCACTCCGGAGCTGTCAAGGAAGAAAACGCCTTGCACACACCTTGGAATGGACGCGCGCCTCAGTCACCGACTCGCCAAACTCTTAGAAGATGTCCATTGGTCTGTAGGGAGGTTTGGGCATGGAGTAAGAGCCGCTTTCTTATTATTTAATAATGTTGGAAGTGCCCGGTCCGCTGCCAGAGTTGTGGGTCATGTGGGCACAGCAGAGGCTGGCTGCTGCCAGTACCAGGGTTTCCTGAGGATCCTGAAACTATGATCTCATCCTCCTCATCCGCCTCCCCCGCCCTTCTCTCCGCGGGCGCGCACGCACAGCACACACACACACACACACACACACACACACACACACACATGCACACACACACGCGCGCACACACACTCACACTGCATGCACTATCCTCCTTCCTGGACCGAAATATTCCACCAGGGAAATACAGTGGTCACGCTCTTCATTGAAAAAAAAAAATCCTTTCTGATATTTTTCTTTCAAAGCTTGATTTATGTGCTTTGTTTATTTTCCACAGTTTTCCCTCACACGTGCGAGGGATCTGAACAGAGCCTCAGAATTAAAATAAAAAATAATCATCCTCTTATGTTGACCCAGATTTTGGTCAGAACCCAAGGACTCAAACAGTACAATTTCATTTTAAAACAGAGGCGATAATATAGCAGGCTTGAATACGGAATAGTAATAACATCTGAGAGTATGAAATGGGTTTCTTTCCCAAGCTGCGAACATTACCTCATTTATTTGCAGAGCATCTTTGCAGAGGAGGAAGATGAGAAGGCAAATAAGTAGTGACTTCAGAGACACAGAAGAGGCGTAGGTCAGATAGCATGACCTATCCAAGTACACATAAGTCAATATCTCACTATAAATATGAATTGCACAGCTACTCACAGGTTGTTTAGTTACTATAATCAATTCCTGGAAACTTAGGTTCTGAAAAATTATGAAGATANCTAATCTCTGGACACTGTGAATGCTACCTTATACCGCAAAAGAGATTTTGTAGATGTGATTAAATTGAAGACCTTGAGATAGGGAGATTATCCAGGTGGGCCCTAAATGTAATCACAGCATCCTTAAAAGACGGAGACAGAGAGAGCTTTTGACTACAGAAAAGGAAGTAGGAAATGTGATGGTAAAAGATTATAACATGTGTAATGTGGATATTAAAGTAATGCAAGGAAGAAATTGTGAGTCAAGGAATGTAGGTGTCCTCCAGAAGCTAGAAAATGCAAGGGAATGTATTGTCTTCTAGAGCCCCCAAATTTGAACAAGCCTTGCCAACACCTTGATTTTAGCTCAGTGAAACTAATTTCTTACTTCTGGCCTCCAGAACTATAAGAGGATAAATGTGTGTTGTTGTATCATATTACCAAGTTTGTGGTAATATGTCACAGCAGCCATAGGAAACTAATACAAGTTGTGACTATAACAAAAGATGTAACATTCATAGCTTGGAAACCTGGAAGGAGAAAAGAAAATAGGCACATACACAGCATAGTCAAATTTATAAAAACTAAAGACAAAAAATGTCAGAAAAGAGCAAAAGAGAGATAACACATTACCATTAGGAGAAAAAAAACTATTAGAATGACAATAGATTCTCATGAGCATCCATGAAGGCCAGATGAAAGTGGCACAACATTTTCAAGTGCTGAAAGAAAAGAACTGTCAACTTAGAATCCTGTATCCAGCTAAAATATTCTTCAGGAATGAAAGAGAAATTAAGACATTCACAAATAAAGGAAAACAAAGATATTTTATCACCAGCAGATCTGCCTGCTCTAAAAGAATGGCTAGAGGGAGTTCTTAAAACAAAAAGGAAGCAATAAAAGCAGGAATGTTGGAACAATGTTAAAGAAGAAAGAACATAGTAAGCAAAAATATGAATAATATAATGGATTTTCTCCTCTTGAGCTTTCAAAATTATATGTGACAGTTGAAGCAAAAATTATAACANTCTCACTATAAATATGAATTGCACAGCTACTCACAGGTTGTTTAGTTACTATAATCAATTCCTGGAAACTTAGGTTCTGAAAAATTATGAAGATATTCTTTATTACGTTTAAGCTACTTACTATCTAAGATTGAAAATTAATTAATGAATTAGTTTTTCCCTATACGTATTATCATATAATTTTCTTTTGTGTATTTGTATATATTGCCTTTTTCATGTTTTTATATAATTTTCTTTCTTTTTTGGGACATGTGTATGAGTTGTATGTCTGTATATGTGCATTCATATTCATTTATGTTGTTTAACTCCTTAGTAATATCAAGAAATTTTAGTCAATGTTTTTGAGGTAGTCATCAATTTCATAATGATTTATACATTTCACTCAAACCATTTTAAAATGCTTGATGCATGTAAAAAGCTGTGCTGTTTTAAAGGATATAGAGAAGTTTAATATTTGGAACCTGTCTTCCATTAGTTTACATCTAGTTGTTGAGAATATATATATATATATATATATATATATATATATATATATATATATATAGTCTACCAAGAAGTCTACAACTGAAACACTGTTATTTTTGGTGTTATGAATTGTCACAAAGAAAGTATAAGATACACTTCTTTTTATCAATGTAATTTCTGTTCCATGTTAAAATTGTTTCATTTGTCTGTGTGCCCCATATTTCAGCCTGTCATTGGCCCCCACAGCATCTCAATGGCCAAGGTAATTTGTTAACTTTGCCCTTCACTTACACATCCACCATACTCACATAAGCACCACAGGGGGATTTTTTTCTTTGTGATTATAAAAGTTCTCACAAAAAGCACTCTCTTTTGTTCAGGTGTATATAAGAACATTCAGCAGTCTCTTAATAATACAAAGAACAGAGAAATGGTGTGAGAGAGAGAATGCCTCAAGGAGAAAGCAGAAGAGTAAGTAATGGAAAGAGGTGGGGGAAGGGAAGAATAAAAGGCAATTAAGAAATTACAAGATAAGGGAGAGAGAAAGAGGGGAAAAAAGCAAAAGAAGAAAAAGAAGACCAACTTTCAAGTGAAAACCAAGATTTTCCACATTTTGCTGTGTAGTAAACAAATTTAGGAAATCATAAGAGTTTCTTATTGCTATGAATTATTTTTTTTTAATAAGCTGACAGGAATTTAATGGCAGCGACACCAGGTGTCAGTCCTGCAGAGACTATGCTGAAAGATCTCAATTTTCAAAATTCAGTGTAGGATCTACTAAAAGAAATAAGTAGGCTGACCCATCAATATAATGTAATAATAAAAATGATAATGCGATCAAATAGTCACAGTATACATAGTATTTTATGAAGAAATTAACACTGAAATTCAGGGTGATAAATGGCAAAACAAAGACACAGGAATATTAAGGTGGGCAATAAGGAGCTAGGCTTGCAAGACAATGCAAAAAATAGTAATAGTTACAGCATGTATTTTTAAAAGTAGTACTTCAGTTTTCAAAGTGCTTTTCATACATCTTTATTGAACCTGATAATAATTAGAGGCAGGCACCTTTGTGGGCTTCATTTTAAAAGAATATAATAATTCTCCCTAGTTTTCTACATGTCGAATGGAGACGTGCTGAAAAATTTCACTCATTGTTTTGGAAATATCATTTATATTCTCTGACCAGTCAACCCTAAAGATGTTGCTCAGTATCCCTCCCTCCAATCCTTCTCATAAACAATGCAACTAGACGGATTCCTGGTCATAGATCGCAACAGTGATTTATAATCCAGGATTTTACACAGGCTATTGGAGTTAAACTAGAAGCTTTAGCATGTAGCAGATGCTAATGGCTTTGTAGCATCTCTGGGAGATTTCTGCAGTAAAGGTGGGGGCCCAAATTGAACAGCAATATATCAAGAGCACTTTTCCTTTGATATGCATACTTATGGCAGGATTTGTTTTAATTAGAGGTATATTTAGGTTGGATGATTATAACATGTGTCTCAGAAATGCATTACAACTTTAGTGGCTCAATAGCCACTAGCAGTTTGTGTCAAAATACCTTCAAGTAGGGAAAAATATTTTTAATATGGCTATGTACACATATTTATGGGTCATAATAATTTAGGCTATCTTTACCAAGGGAAAAAAAATACTGATATTTACTATTTTGCTCTTATAACTTTTTGACTTTTAAAATAGGTTCTAACTAATGAGACTGGTTATAGGAAAAATCAGAATATTCACTATGAAACACTGAAACTATAAGTGTGTGTATATGTTTTATAAATACAGTGATCTATAGAGTGTTATAGGTCAAATAAGAATGATTACTATTACCTGTGTGCTGGCAATAGTTTGGGGGCATGAGGAATTAAACATTTTGGAAACTTCACGAGATTTGAATGACAAGAATAGAAACGAAGATGGATTGAATAAAGTTGAGGAAGTAAAGACATCGCTATTTTATCAGTTAGAAACACTTATATCCCCTGGGTGTAGACGATTGTTTCAGGGAAGGATGATAAGGGGCCTTGAGGAACACAAAATATACATAAATTCTGCTCCCTCCCAAAGTCTTGATTTTCATTCTTGATTAGCTTTCAAGAATGAAAAGTTCATTAGCAGTTCAACACAGGACTCAAGATGATGGATCAACTGAGCTATGGCTTGGAGGATTCATGGTTAGATTTTTTGGGGGGGAAGCGGGAGGGGCGGGGGAAGAGCTACCAAATTTTGAGGCCAAGGTGGGCAGAAAGAACCCTTTGCTGTTCTCCAACTTTTCAAGATACCCCCATTTTTGGAACCCATCAGACTCAGACAGAACATTGTCTTCTGACCGCCAGTGAAATGAATAAATTGTGTCCTAAGCATTCATGAAACTTGAGAGGTTGTAAAGTATGTGTTTGTATTAATAAACAACAAGGTGTTCGTTCAGTCTCCTTTTGCATCACCTCGAAGTGCATGTTTATATAAAGTTAGTATCTGATTGCCTGAGAATTGAGGCATGGTCCTGTTGGCTTT